CTATTACTACTACTACTACTACTACCACCACTACTACTGCTGCTGCTACATCTGTTTCTGCTACTATTACTACTACGTGTACTACTACTACTGTTACTACTGCTACTTCTTTTACTACTACTGTTATTACTACTACTACTGCTGCTGCTGCTATTCCTACTACTGCTGCTGCTACCACTACCGATCTTGCAGCTGCGACTGTCACTACTGCTTCTGCAGCTAGTGCTGCTACCACAGCTGCTTCGACTGTTTCTGCAACTACTTGCACTAGTGCAACTAACACTTCTAATGATGATAACAGTAACTCGCTACAAATAGTCTCCATTCGAGTTAAACGAAAACATGAAACTTATGACAACGATCACGATAATGATAGTAATAATAATAATAATAAAAGTAATAACAACAATAATAATAGTAATAATAATAATAAGGCGAACAATAGAAATACAAATAAAATCAATTTAAGGAAGTTTGTTAAAAATAAGAATGACAGTAAAAGAAGAAAGATTGACGGAGTGAATGACTTACCTCGTCATGATGATGATACTACTGCCACTACTACTAATACCACTGCTAACAATAATAATAATAATAAACATAGGAGCTCTAAAACTAGCAATAAAATTTGTGACGATGATGATACTAAGCCTACAAATCCTAACTATAGTAAAAAGAAAAATAATAATAAGAAGAATAATAATAAACGCGACGATGATGCAGATGAATGCAATAAGAATAATAATAAGAAAAAGCGTAGTAGAATAAAGGAGGCTGACGACGATGATGATGATGGGATAGTCTGCAAGAGGTTAAAAGTTACAAGCCCAAATGATAAGAATAAAAAAAATAATAAAAACAATATTAATGATAATAAAAACGACAATAATAATAATTTTGATGGTGATAATAATGATGAGAGAGTTTTGAAGAAAATACCAGAGCCGTCATTGCTTTCGTCTTCATCTTCATCACTGGCGTCATCAGCGTCAGCGTCAGCATCATCGTCGGTGTCGTCATTGTCGTTACCACCTCCACCACCATCTTCGTCGTCAGAGTATCAAATGTCGCTTTCAAACACTCATATAAGTGCTTTATATAGCAAGACAATAATGCATCTGAAGAAGAAAATGACGTCATCATTAGCGGCAACAACAACAACATCAACAACAACTTCAGCCGCAACTACCACGTCATCATTATCAACACAAAAAGCAACATTATCAAGTTCAATTAACCTATTAACCTCCTCACCGATTACTCATTCAAAGATGTTGAAGTCGCCATCGTCATCAATAGTAGCAGCAGTAGCAGCAACTACAGCCGCCACAACATCTTTTTCATCATCACCACCAACAGCAACAACTTCATTTTCAGCGTTTTTGTCGTCGTTAAACCTGCTATCACCTATAGCATCATCATCATCTGTCGCAAGCAGAGAACCAACAACAGCAACATCATCAACATTTTTGATCAAAAAATTATCATTTACTACATCATTATCAGCAGCACTTAAATCATCGTTATCATCATCTACATCATCATCATCATCATCATTGGCGCGATCATCATCAACATTGTCGGCATCACTATCATCATCTTTGTTACCGGTATCATCATTATTATCACCAATTTCATCGACAATACCCATTGCATTAGCGCTATCACAATCATCATCATCGCCAGTAGCATCATTATCATCATCGCCAGTAGCATCATTATCATCATCGCCAGA